TAGGTGTTGTGCGACGGTAGCGCTTTCTGAGGGAAGGCTCATCTCCCTCCATGATCTTGCTGCAATTGGTGGCGACTTTGGACGTTCCCATGCCATCATGCCTTTGTGGTGAAGCGTCGGATCGGGTGTGGCGCTCAGCTCAGCATTTTTACGAACTAGTGTGAATTCCGGCAAGCTTTGGGGCTTCTCGCCTCGACATTCCAGGGCATGCTTCCGGTTCCGACTGCGCACACTGACGCACACGGTCCAGAGGGCGACACATTTGAGCGGCAGAAGAAGAAAGGAGACGCGGCTGGTCTTGAGAGCGAGACATTGTCCACGTGCTGGGATGCGCAATGACTCAACCAGTGCATCAAACTAAAGGCGAACCAAAGCTTGCGGATATGCGCTGAGTTGGTCTCATGGCAGAACCATTCCAGGTAGGCGGTGCATGCTTCCGATCCCGTTTTTGCATTCCTCCTGCTGTCAGGCCGTTTTGCCGTTGCCCTTCAAAGTGATTCTCCGCTGGGCACTTTCCGAAGGATTTGGGAATATGCCAGGACTTGTTCGGCAAGCCCAACTGCAAGCAAATGATCGTCCGAGTTTTGCGACCCGGCCTAGCGGGTGATATGAAGCCGTTAACTTTCTGAAGCTTCTCCCACAGACTTCTCTTTGCAAGTCCTGACGAGTCATGTAATTGAGAAGGAACCATAGCTCATCCGTGCAGCTCTTCCCGCCAGTTCTTCGCGAAAAGTCTTAGCTCGAAATTAGCTGCATGAGGACAATTGTCTGGCACGGGAAGACACAGTTCACAGGATCTCCAGAGCGCTTTTTCGAGAGTATCAGGCTGTCATGGTGAGCTCGCGGCACGGAGCGCTGTACGGGTGCCTGCAACACGTCCAAGTGCCAAGCGCCAACCTGCGGATGTGCCCAAAGCCTGCGCTGTCTTGGCAGTCAGCACGTGCTGTGGACGCTGGCTGCACAGTTCCTGCAGCTTTGGGACTCCCCGGCAGCAAAGGGCCCAAGGCCAGTGTCTCTGCGGGGTAGAGCTCAGACAGACAGGTCCAAACTGAGCCCAGAAGCATTTTAGACCCGTATTTTCGCCCAATATATAAGACAGGCTCTGCCACGAGCAGGGAGTCTGGCATGAATGAGGCGAACACTTATCACAGTGCCATGCTGGCACAAGCTGAGTGTTGGATTCAAGACGCTTGCTGCCCCTTCAAATCCTAGCCTGCGCTTTCAAGTTTCTTCGGCCCCTTTTTTAGCGACATAGGATTCCCAATCCCAAGCCGTGCTCTTGACAGTGATGTTTGCCTTGAGCGGGGCTTGACTTTGACAGCAAATGAGGAACGTCAGGCTGCCACAAACATTGCTTTGTGCACGGGCATCCACTCAGCAAAGGCAAAACCAACGAGGTGGTTGCGCAAGCCAGTATGCAAATCTGCTTCCGGGAAGCCCTGGCTTCTACCACAAGCTTCTTCGCAGCCCTGCCCCTCCAAAAGTATGTAACTCCCCGGCGCCTTGTGACATTTCGCGAAGTCCTGGCCCCTTGGCCCCTTGGGCACATTGCGCGAAGCGCAGACCCCTCATTATGAACCCCCACGCAAGCCCCTCTTGCGGCGCGAAGCCAAGTGCTTCTGCCCAATGTGAGCGCGTCACAAGTCCGGCAGAGGCACGAGAGCTTTCTGGCAAGCTTCGCAGTGGTAGCTTCTTGCCGCTTGCAAACCCACTGGCCGGGGCTGGGGCTCTCAATGTTTCGGCGCAAAGCCCTAGTGAGCCCTTAAGCTTTCCCGGCGGCCTGCGTCGTTCAGTGCGGACCCGAGCTCAGCGTTCCTTTAGGTTGGGCGTTATCTTTATGGCCTGCACCCAGACTCGACGCCAACGGCGCTCATTTTTCACCAGAATGGTCACGCAGCTGCCTATGCAAATCCTGCAACTAATTATGCAGGGCGAGACGTGTCAAGCCAAACATGTGTGCTGTCATCTGATATGAAGCAGCTGCGCAGACATTTTTGTGTAGGGATAAAGACGAAACTCAGGCGAGTGCTAGACGGAAACGCTAAGTCTTGACAACCAAGGGAATTGTTCACCCAATTGCCGCGCTCAAGGCAAACACGCAAGGCGTGCGCAAAACAAAGAGCCGACATGTTCTGCTAGCGTGCTTTAATCTTCAGCTTCGCAAGGCCTGAAAACGCAAATTGTGCAAGAGCAAATTTCAGCAGTGTTTTGGAGCGGTTCGCGCATTTACTTGTAGTACTGCTGGCTGAGCTTGCTGTTTGGCCCTGGGTCAATTGGGTCGCACCAAAGAGGTCCTTCCACCCAGAGCCTGCAGTCAAGTATTGGTTTGCCATGGTTTGCCTTCGGTTAAGTCTATGATGTGAGGTTCCACACGAAGTCATCAATGAACGAGCTTTCATGAAGCTTGGCAGTTTCATGAGATGTGGTTGCTAGGTTTGGCGAATGTGCCCCTCAAGCTGGCCTAAGCCAACGGTCAATTTATGCGAGCTGAGCATATCGCAGGTGCCCAAGGGTTTTGGACAATTCTCACATGCTTCAAAATGGAAGGTGATCAACCACCCTGTTGGGATGAAACAGGTTCAACAAGGGTGCAAACTCAATAGCTCCAACTGCTGGCACAAGGTAAAGCGTCGTGAGACCCTGCGACACTCCGAATAAATGCGCCAGTACGGGGTCACAGGTTCCATGAAATAGAGTGAATGAGTTGTTCTTTGAACAGCTCAGCTAGGAGTACCTGCGAGGGTTGGCGGGGTCTGGCCGAGGAAAAGGCACACGTCTGCCCAAAGTGTCCAAAGTGTAAAGATGCCGGGTTCTGATGAAGTTTTAGCTGGCTTTGGTTCTGCAACTCGATGTTCAAATTCGTATCAGTTCTCAGCGCTGCCGCGCATAATGTCAGAACTCTTTTTGGGCTTGTTGCTTAGAGCCCAGACCAAACCCCGTGCAGTTGACCAGGTCAAGACACTAACGTGAGAAACCTTTCGCAAAGCAACTCGAAAGTCCAACCTTCTCAAGTGTGGAGGCGCCTTGCAGGCAGTCCACTTGCAAGCTGGACAATTTCTCGTGTCTTGCGCTGCTTCCAAGCTTGGCACTTCCAAGCTTGGCAGTTCGGATGAGACTTTGGGGCTTCTGAGTGCCCAAATCAGCTCCAAGCCACCCCAAACCCACTCAAAGTCAACCCTAAACCCGCCCAACAGCAGCCTGGATGTCAGCCCTTCGGCTTCGCCTAAATCATCCCCAAACCACCCCAAGACCCACCCTCATGAAGATCTAAGCCAACCAAAACCCCCCTAACTTAATCAGAGCCAATAGGCAACCCCAGGTCCAAGTGATGCTGGTGCTGCCGGGGATGTTGGCAGCTTTGCGGAAAACCGGACCTAGTAAAACAAAAAACACCTCTACCGCGTAGCCATGCTTTCTGAGGTAAACTCAGATGCGGCATTCAGTGTTTCTGACAGCATGACCTCACACTGCTTTGGCGTTTTTGACAAGAGCAGTGAGGCTAGCACAGGCCATCTCTCACCAGCCTGCAATCGGCCTTCTCAAAGAAGGCCCACCCTCTTCCATGGAGGCAACCCTGCAAATCCTTGCCAATCAGGTCCTCTTAACTCAGTACCTTCCTGTGTGCGGCACAAATTGGTAACACCACGTGGCAAAGATGAAAACTTGCTTGCTTGGCTTCTTGAGTGATTCGCTTTTCGTCTTGCGAGCGATTGTTTCGCCAATGTGCCAAAATTATCTCACTTTACAGAGCTTTCCACAAGCAGGTCGCGCAATAAAGATGTGGCAAAGTCTTTCAGAAACGGACGTGGGTAATACTCTGCCGCTGGCCTCGCAGTGCAATATGCGGACCTTTTAACTATAATCGCACGCTCTGTTGACACAGAGCTGCTGCCCTGCCTTCGTGAGACTTAAAATCCAGCTCAGCCCACGGCCCTTTTGAGCTGATTTCCCACTCCAGGCCTGCGAGAGATTTCGGTGTTGCGGCAAACTGAAACAAGTTTCATGAGTGAGGACATGAGGGTGGCAAGAACATGACCACACAGCCAAACTAAACTGTCCCCCTGAAGGAAGAGAGTTGCAGCAGGGATGGTGATGTCGACTTTGAGAAGATCTCCTTGCATCTGTCTCTGCTGAAATACATCCCGGTGCTCGAAGCTGAAAGTTGTCGTGGAAAACTGGAAAACCGCGGTTTTATTTGTTTATTCTTCTTTTCTTAAGCAACCATGTGTCAACAGTTCTTGCCGCGCATGGCCCATTTTTCCAGTTTGTAGCATAGGGCTTCAGGTCAGAGGGTGCATGGCAAGGCCTCGAGGGGTGCCTGCGTTGCGAGGCCTTTTCTCCTTTGAGGCCGTTTCCCGGTGAACCCGAAACAAGGGTGCCCCTTGTTCCCCCACCGGGGTTTGAACCACCTGCGAACGGGTCCCAAGTTGATTGAGGCAACCATGCATTGCTCCTTTTTGGGAAAACGAAGAGATCATCGGAACGAAGAAGGCCCACATTCGTCATTTCTGCTTCGCAGACTTGGACCGTGTCGCTCGCATGGCTCCAGCTGAAAATTTGCATGTTGTGCCACGTGACAAGAAGAAGGGTGAGGTTCATAACTCACCCCCCCCCCCCCGCCCCCCCCGCCCGGGAGAGTCGCTGAGAGATTCTGGCCATGAAAAGGTGACATCCAACCCAGAGGGGTTCCACAGCCAGGTTCATACGCTGGCATCCATGTGTTCCATGACCCATAGACTTAGCGAGCCCCGGCGACGGCCATACCACGGACTTTCAAAACTGTCTTTATCCCATTCGTTTGATCCATGGGTCGTTTGAGAAGCCAATAATTTTGTTCCCAGGTGTTTGCAGTTGTCTGAAACTAGTGATCATATTCCAGCTGTTCGCAATTTACGGCGAAAGATCCATGAACATGATGGAGTTACCCCAGTTACCCTAGGTGGTTCACGGAAGTCAGAATGGCTGAGAAGTACAGCTACTCGAAATAGTTCCTCGTCTTAAGCTGCGCTCGACGTTTCCGGACTTGATGTGCGACGCAGCCTGCGCCTTGTGCGCCTCTCGCATAAGGCGCCTGGACGCAAGTTGATGGGTGATCCGGCAGTGTCATGTCTGAATTTGGGGCAAGGGTCACAAAAACGGCAACAGGGGTCCGCAGGTCTTAGTTCTTTCCGTTAATACTAGGTTTCCTTTTGGGCACCATTTTTGACCCACACCCTTTTTGGTGTTGAAGCGGGCCCCAGCAGGCTGGAGATGGGAGCCCAGTTTTGCCCTTGTTCTCTCCATTTTTTGTTCGCGTTCTGGACATGTGGGTGTATCTTTGTTTGCATGGCCCCCTTTTTGAGCTGGTTTCAATTGAACACCAACAGACAAAATACACTTTTGTTTTCTTCTTTTGTTTCTCCTTTTTTCGATGGGGGGGGATCCCCAAAGAAACACACCCGTATTATTGGTGAACATGGTGCGACATAGAGCACAGTTGCTTTGTCTCTGTTCGGCGATATGATCGAGACTCCATTGGATTTTGCCTGTTTGAAACTGATGCAATTATGCAATCAGTCACTGTAGGCCAGCACTCTGGAGGTTGTACATGCGTGTGTGTTTCTTGAAGCCCCCAACAGTGTGTTGTTTTTGTCTGTTGGTTTCCCTTTAAAACCACCAACAAGGGGACCCGTCAAGGCGTGACAGACCCATATCACCGGGAGACTACTCCCTGGTGAAACGATCCAACATTTGGGCTGGATGGCTCACACAGTTGGCCACACAGTTGGCCCTCAAAAGGGTTTCCAAAGCTTTATCTATATAAGAAAAGGTAGCCGCAAACACCGCCAAATGTAAACCCTCTCTCTGTCGATTCCATGGAAGCTCCCACCCTTTTGTGAACATAATGGGGAAACATGGCACTCCCCTTCTGTCAGGAAGAGCCATGAAGAGCCAACATGGGTGAATTGCTTCATCGACTTTCCACTTGGAGTACCCTGGCAGCCCTGATTTGCACATAATGAATTCATACGGTTTTCGCCCGTAGGTTTCCCGTTGCCTCCCTGGCTTGCATAGTCTCGGGTCCATTTGGCAGGCCATGGTGGAGTTGCTGGCAGCAATCGGCCTCGGGGCGAAGGACTTGGGCAAACTTGCCGGGAAGGAGGGAATGACCCCCTACTCCAGCTGAGTACTTGGCGGTTTCCCAAAAAAAAAACATGATTCCACAGGGCTCCTTAAAAGATTCATGTTGCAACCATTTGGAACATGCTGCTTGTTCCACCAAAATAAAGGGAAGCCACCATTGACAAGGCAATGTTCAGGTGTATAATGCAAGGATCCCTATTCCAGCTGAGTACCGGCGGTTTCCCAAAAGGGGACCAGGTTTCCCGAAGCTCTTCGACTCTTGAGAAAGAGAATCGGCTTCAGCTATGAGACCCTGGTCCCTGTTTGAAGGGAAACCAAATGGAGAGTTCATGGTGTTCAAACATGTTTAAAAAGGGGGTTGGGAGAACAACAATAAAATCACCCCTTTTGTGGCAAATCCACTCATGAAGCGGCCCCACAACTGGGATCTGAGACTGTTTTGCGCTTATTTTCTGTTTGAAGCTTCACTTAGTATGGACTAGAGTCTACACATTTGAGGTCGGGGTGGGTGTAGCTGAGGTAGCACAATGCCACGAGTAGATTCCTCCAAGGCGTGGGCATCCACCCCTCGCTGGGCACGGATCAATTTACCAAGGATGGGCATCTTCTGGTTTATTCGGCAGGGGCATCCACCCTTGGTTTGTCACCCCGAGAAGCTTAAAAGCTTGGGGCTGCTGCGTAAGTTCACAGCGGGGCAAAGTTTTCGCCACTCGCGAGGCCCTCACGCCCCGTTTCTCCGAAGCCTGCGAGCTCCGCCAGGAGCTCTTTGCATACAACCGCGAGAGCTATAAGTTTGATCAGGACGGCTTATGGCACACCCGAGCCCCCTTGCAGGACGCGGGAGATTCCATTAGGATTCTCGAAGGATCCCCAAAAACAGTCCTCAGCCCAACTACTCTGAGTCCTTAAGGCCTTATGGAGATTCATGGGGGATCCCAAAAGAGGCCTAAACAGGAAAGGGCCATTGTAACTGTCAGCTAAGTTCAGCCATGTTCAGAAAGTGTCGGTTTGTTGGGGTGTGTGCCATGGGAACATCCCTTTTGAGAGTTTCCTCATTTGGAGTCAGACCGAATTGAAGGAGTTGCTACTCTTTTGGGGGCTGGTCCAAAGGGAAACGGCTGATTTTGAGTGAGGGTTGTCCCATCAGACAAGCCCAGGAGGAATCCCTACACGACTTACTCTTGCAAATGTCGACTTTCCGTGTGTGTTTTGGTTGGAGAGAATATCTGAATCTGACAAGCTTCCCCAACAAGAGACGACCTAGGCAGACTTGTGCCTGTTTTCCAGGCACCCCCGGAATGGCAGGAACCCACCCCCAAACCCGCCCCCAAATTGGCGGATTGATTCCTTCGCAGTTGATAGGACCAACGGCTGGAGAGGGAGGTGCTGCGACTGGAGATGCAGGCGATCCGACGGTTGTCTCTACGTTCTCCTTGTTGGCATGTTTGCTTGCTGGTTGCTGGCTCTCACTAGGCCATGTGTTGTGTTGGTTCATCTGTTTAGGGAATCTCCTCGTGGATTTGTTCCGATCTTCGGCCAGGGGTCAATTTGCCAGGTGCCTGCCTATGGCTACCCTTTAAACGACCATCACAATGTGGTGGCTGATGTTGGTTGATAAGTTGGACAAAAAGTGGGAACCCAACGTATGGGTCCCTGGAACGATCCTGTGGCTGCGGCTCAAATTAGATCCGCATCGGAGGTCCAGGCCGACCAGCGATCCAAACCGATGACCAAAGCACTGGTGATCCAGACAGACGTCTGGATCACGTCTGTCTGGATCACCGCGGATCGATCCCGACCCGTTTTTTGACGGAGACCCCCCAAAAAGTGGTGGTTGTCCTGTTGTTTCCCCTTGAAACCGAAGTGAACAGGGTACTCTCCAAAAGTCAATGAGTCAAGGTGAAGCGCTTCGAGCTCTTCCGAGAAGATGTGCGAGACCTGGTGGAGTTGACCGTGGGCCGCCCGGCGCCCCGATTTACGCGGCGATGTCACCACCTTCAAAAAGATCGGCGGAGCTGAGAGAAGCGGCGATAGCGGCCGATTCTGGGGAGTCACAGAGTCACTGGGTGCTAGATTGCCCATACTATAGTTGATTTCCTCTAAAGGAGATCAACACGGAATGCCCAGTTGTTTGTTTTCCGGCCCCCCCCCAGTAGACACCCAATGAAGCTTGGGCCATAAATAGGTTCGGCAAGCGGCAAGCCCTTGTGATTGTTTTGCATTGTTTAATATATATTTTTTGAACTGCCATCAGTAGGTTTCGGTGCAGGTTGTGTTGCAGGTAGGCTCGGTTGCAGCATTGCTTAAATCCAGCAGCTTCTTGCCAATGGCCCCGCTGGAGAATTCTGCGGCAAGCAGCTCTTGGCTCCTTCGCTCGCACACCTCATCCAGGGGATCCGCAGGGCATGGCGGCCATGTTTGCTCATTGAGCCACGTGCTCAAAACCCGGGTAAGTAAGGGACGATCCCAGCCAGAAATAGCTGCGTCCACCTTCTTGGTTCTTTACATGGTGGGTCGACCATTTTTGCACCGGGTTTCGATTGTGACGCATTGGTGTGATCAGCCGACAATATTCCAATTTGGTTCTGGTGACTCCCGATCGGCTTTTGGCGGCAATATTGTCGCGCGTAACCCCGACAGGCCGGATGCCACAGCTGTGATCCAGCTTTCAAACAGGCAAACGGGCGGAAATCCACAGTCGGTGTATCCAAAGCGCTGCCTGTGCTTAAAACAACCAGCTCTTGCAAGGGAAGCTATACGAGGATCTTTAAACAACAGCTATTTGGGTGTGGCATTTTGGGGGTACTTGCTGGGTGTCGTTTAAAGGGAAACCAAAAGGAACCCAACCCTTTTGTGGGTTCCCCGATTTTGAGACAACCCAATTTCTCACACCATTTGTCCTGTGTTGAGTTTCCTGCGCCCACTCTGCCGGCAGCAAGCTGTCTGAATGCTTGGTGGTCACTCGTCCCGGTAGCTGGCGTTTGCTCAAGATGATTGCTCAATTTTGAGCTGTTGTCCATTGGTTCATGTTGGTTTCTGCTTGGACCTGGATCCTTGCAAATGCAATTGAACTGTTTGGACTCGGGCCCTTTTTCCCTAGCAAGCATCTCAGTTTTAGCAGGGTGTCAAAGACCAACCCCTGTCCCCAGCAGGGCCACCCTGGGAGTTCGCCTTTGCTCAGGCATGGACGTCTACCATCTGGTGGGCGCATTGTTTCTAGAGTCCTGCTGGCACGGCTTGGGATACGTCGGCCCTGAGCCCAGTTGTGCAAAGCGAATCGACCTTCCAATCGTTTTGGGTTTCCCTTTTCGGACCATTTCTCGTCAAGATCCTACAGGATTAACATGGTAATTCCAGGTTCTTGGGGCAGGTGTGTCGGTGGATTCCGCTGTTGGTTTCCAGCCCTTTGTTACAGGGTGCCTCTAAAAATAGAATCGACCCCCAAACGGATTCCCATCTTTTTTACTGTTCGGATCACTGGGCAACTGGGGCAACAGCAATCAACAATTCTTTTTGATCCCCATTCCCTCAATGAGATGGGGGCGGGGTTGGTAGGCGCGGCATTTCCAAATCATGGAAACCCGCTTCAATGGTTTGAAGGCTACACCTGCTTGATTGGGGACCCTCACTCTACTTACGATCAAAGCCTATGTTCAAGGTTGGTGACCTTCCCTTTGCCATAAAAAGTGGCGCAGCAAGACGCCGCTTGTGTTTCACGAGCAAACCGTGGGCTTCCAAAAGGGGTCCATTTCCTCCCCTCGCGGTTGAAATGTCAATCAGAAGGAACCGTCCCTTTTTGGAGCCCGCTAGGCCTAAACCCCCCACACATGTAGGTAGGACTTGGGCCAAGGAAATCCACGCCCCGTGCAGAGGGCAGAATGGACTGCAGTTCCAGTTGGACATTCGGTTTTGCCAGCAAGCCGGCGTGTTGCGGGATCTTCCCGCCACTTTTGCTAGGAATGCTGACCCACGAAGCATGCACTTAACCCAGACCTCCAGTCGCCTCTTTCTCTTTTTCTTCGGGGTTCCCTTCAAAATCAAAACCTAGGCAAATTATCCGCGTTCATCTGATATTTCCTTGGTAAGTGGCTTAGAATGTTGGCCATGTCCCAAGTACAAGTACCTCAATCGCCTCCCGTAGTCAGGCGGTCCCCTTTAGCAGGACAGCAATCGAAGGGAGCCTTCCAGCACTAACTTCGGGGTTGTTGATCTGAGGTGTGCCCTTTTGAGACCTGATTGCGGATAAACAAAATCCTGAAACGTGGTAGTGGCTTCCTGCTGATGGACGAATCCGTCCACATGCCGTTTGGATTGACCCGTCTTGGGTGCGACCCGAAAGTCCTGCCAGGTTCTGCGTGACCTTCTTTTGTGAAGGGCGAGTTCAGGTGGGGCGAACTCGCAACTCACCTCGACGGGCTCCAAGGTGCCGACTAAACCGGCCTATAGGTCCGCAAGATGGGTTGTGAAAGGAGCAGGGGTGATCTTTTTGGTTTCTCAGGGATGGACCTTGGATTGGCCACTCTTCTAGAGAGACGCCTTTTGCCTACGGCACCCATTTACCCTTTGATTCGGCACTCTGGTCGTCAACCCACATGCCAATGGGTTCCCTTCGTGCAATTCCTGGGATGGCCCCAACTGTCCAGCCAGCAAGAAGTCGCCAGGCCAACGCCCCTCCGTTCATACTGGCGTTGTTCCTCCTGTCCAACGCCCGGGAGTCTCAGCAAGCGAGTCGAGTATGTGACGGGCAGAGCGAGTCGAGCATGTGACGGGGGGAGCTTAGACCCTCGCCACACGCCGACCGACCGCTTGAATACGTAGCAAGTTGAGATCTGGCTATCAGACGAGATGATCCCCCCACAAATTGCGTCCCTTTCTGGGTGGTTTCAATATAATTTGATCATATTTGGGAGGAGGTTCCTTTCAGGATGAGCTTTGAAGCGGACACGCAGGGAGCCTTGCCATGGCGGTTGCGACCGAAAACCCCTATTAAAGGCCAGCATGGTTCGCGGCCGAAGCGGTCTCGGCCCAAGGCTCCTTTCATTGGGTTTCGTCTTGCCCTAAGGCTCCTTATGGATTTTGGGACCTGACCCGTGCCGTCCTTACCAAGCCCCAGGGACCTTGAGGCTTTGTGAATAATTACAATTTGGCATGAAGACTGCTGGGAGGGTCGCGGAGTCGCGGATGCGTTTTGAACCTTGTATGACCTGGAAAAAGAAGAATCACGTGCACCAGGTCCAAAATTGGGGGTGCTTGCTTTTTGAGCCCCAAGAAAACTTTAACACGACCACGAACATGATTGTCGAACAAATGCCAGGGGGTCCCTTTGAAAGACCAATGGTCTTCCATTGCCTTTCTGCGAGGTTCCATGTTTTACCACCCCTGTGAGGTTCCATGCTTTTGGCTCCATGTTGTACCACTCCTGTGAGGTTCCATGTTTTTGGATGGGCAGGGTAATTCCCTCTAGCGACTCATTGGAACGGCTGGACCTATTTTGCCGCTTCGCCGCCCTGAATCGAGGCGTGTGCATTCGTGTACCTCCTGCTCGCCGTGTGGCTCAGCACCTTGGATCGGAACCATATGGTTGTGGGTCACAACCGAAGGTGCCTTTTTGGGGATGCTTACCACTCCAATGTTGTCTTTTTAGAAGACTTTCTGGGTGTTCACCGGGGCACCGGGGTTTTGACCCATAGCCAGGTCCAGTGCCATGGTAGGGGAAGACGACCAGTCCAAAGACCCCCCTGCAGCCAGCCCCCTGCTCCAAAGTGTGGGAAAAATGGCGCACATCTGTTTCAGGGCCCCGCTGTTACCTCCATTTCCCCCCGTGATGTCCTCGGGGTGAAAGAAAAAGATTGACCAGGTGTGCCTGAACCTCATGGCTTCCAGTTGGGTCCAGTTCGGGTGCCTTCCGCCAAGGTATGCATGCCTCCATTGCCTCGCACAGCTTCGGAGTGCTGCGCTCAGATGCCGTCGGCGGTTTGTCTCCACCCTGCAAAGCAGCTCATTCTGTTGTTTGTTGTTTTGTTCTTCTTCTTTTTTTTGGGGGGGGGAGGCAATTATACTAATTGACTAGCTGGCTTCCCTGAGGTCAATTAGTATAATTCGCCCAGCTAGGTGCTGTTTGGATGTTTGTTTGCCTCCGAATCACACGTCGGCGAGGTCGCAGCATCTCTTCCGAGGTGATTTAGGGATTTGTCTCGGGATTTCCTTTCTGGGACTGGTGTGGTTGTAGGATCACAGATTTGCCTTTACAATGTACCCCTTATTCCAAATACGTATTTACTTGTGTCAATTCCTTACACAAAGCAGGTATGGTTACCATTACCATGCACGGCACAGCTGGTCTGTTGAAACATACCGTTGAAAGATGCGGGTATTTGGAGGAGGGAGGGTCTTCCCATGAAAAGCAAGCTTCCTTCGAGCGAGCAAGTGGAGCAAGGTGCGGCTGCTGACGCGCTTCGTGCGGCTGCCCATCCCCAGCCCTTCTCAGATCTCATGCCTTAGCCGGGCACTTAGCAGAGCCCTTGCCAATGAGGTCAGCTGCCTTTTATTGGGAGGGGCTTTGCCCTTAAGATCAACGGTCAGCATAAGTAACATAAGGGCGGCCCTTAGACCGCTGTCTGGAGGTTGTGATGCTGGGATCTCTGCTGAAACATGTTTTACATGTTAAGCTTCATTTTGTGTGGACCAGATGCAACTACAGTGCATCAATTCCGGCTGGGGGCAAACGCTGAGGTGGGTTTTGTGGTGTCCCTTGGTGGTTCTGGGGTCGTTCTGTTGCTTCTGTTGCAGGAAGTGTTGTCGTTTAACCCTACCAGCTCTGTCATGGCTGTGGTTTCGGTGGGGGAGGCCAAGGCTTTCCTTGCCCATGGTCCAAGAAGCAAAGGCCATGTTGGGGTTTAAAGGGACTGTGCTCAGTGGTGGTGGGGAAAGGGAACCATTTTACTGGGATTCCCTTGATGATTGGGGTCCTTGGGATAATTCCGAACTTAGCTGGAACTTCTTTTTGACTGAACTTGCATTTGACTTGTGCTTACCAAGTGGCCCCATGTTCAAGCACAAATTATTTTTGTTTGGGGCCAGAAACTGCGCCAGGATTTGTGCTTTGTCTGATTGCATCTTCAAAGTTGTTTGGCTGGAGTTTGCTTGTTTGGGTTCCAATTTCATCCCTCCATTCGTGGCTGTGAGTTTGGTGACCGCAAGAAGCAAGCAGCTCCTTCCTCCCCAACACCTTCCACAAAATTCCACAAAAATAAACAAGTTGGTATAAGTGCAGGTTTTAGTCCTTGGTTCCATTTACTAGGGTTCCAACATGGATACCCATGTTTGACCCACGGACCGGTGTGGAGGTGCGAAGAGCAGGCGACCCCAGACTCCACCGTGAGGCCGCCGCCTCGCGGACTTTGAGCGCCAGGGCTTGGAGAATGTGCTGAGGCGGGGCGTGCTTCACTTTTGCAAAGCCTTTGAGGCGGGTGGGTGGCTGGGTGGGTATGGGTGTTGGGTGGCTGGGTGGCTGGGTGGCTGGGTGGCTGGGTGGCTGGGTGGCTGTGGTGGCTGTGGTGGCTGTGGTGGCTGTGGTGGCTGGGGTGGCTGGGTGGCTGGGTGGCTGGGTGGCTGGGTGGCTGGGTGGCTGGGTGGCTGGGTGGCGGGGTGGCGGGGCGGCTGGGTGGCTGGGTGGGTATGGGTATTGGGTGGCTGGGTGGCTGGGTGGCTGGGGTGGCTGTGGTGGCTGTGGTGGCTGGGTGGCTGGGTGGCTGGGTGGCTGGGTGGCTGGGTGCTGGGTGGCTGGGTGGCGGGGTGGCGGGGTGGCGGGGTGGCTGGGTGGCGGGGTGGCTGGGTGGGTATGGGTATTGGGTGGCTGGGTGGCTGTGGTGGCTGTGGTGGCTGTGGTGGCTGTGGTGGCTGTGGTGGCTGTGGTGGCTGTGGTGGCTGTGGTGGCTGTGGTGGCTGTGGTGGCTGTGGTGGCTGTGGTGGCTGTGGTGGCTGTGGTGGCTGTGGTGGCTGTGGTGGCTGTGGTGGCTGTGCTGTGGTGGCTGGGGTGGCTGCTGGGGTGGCTGGGGTGGCTGGGTGGCTGGGTGGCTGGGTGGCTGGGTGGCTGGGTGGCTGGGTGGCTGGGTGGCTGGGTGGCTGGGTGGCTGGGTGGCTGGGTGGCTGGGTGGCTGGGTGGCTGGGTGGCTGGGGTGGGTGGCTGGGTGGCTGGGGTGGCTGGGTGGCTGGGGTGGCTGGGTGGGCTGGGTGGGCTGGCTGGGTGGGCTGGGTGGGCTGGGTGGGCTGGGTGGGCTGGGTGGGCTGGGTGGGCTGGGTGGGCTGGGTGGGCTGGGTGGGCTGGGTGGGCTGGGTGGGCTGGGTGGGCTGGGTGGGCTGGGTGGGCTGGGTGGGCTGGGTGGGCTGGGTGGGCTGGGTAGGCTGGGTGGGCTGGGTGGGCTGGGTGGGCTGGGTGGGCTGGGTGGGCTGGGTGGGCTGGGTGGGCTGGGTGGCTGGGCTGGGTGGGCTGGGTGAGCTGGGTGGGCTGGGTGGGCTGGGTGGGCTGGGTGGGCTGGGTGGGCTGGGTGGGCTGGGTGGGCTGGGTGGGCTGGCTGGGTGGGCTGGGTGGGCTGGGTGGGCTGGGTGGGCTGGGTGGGCTGGGTGGGCTGGGTGGGCTGGGTGGGCTGGGTGGGCTGGGTGGGCTGGGTGGGCTGGGTGGGCTGGGTGGGCTGGGTGGGCTGGGTGGGCTGGGTGGGCTGGGTGGGCTGGGTGGGCTGGGTGGGCTGGGTGGGCTGGGTGGGCTGGGTGGGCTGGGTGGGCTGGGGGGCTGGGTGGCTGGGTGGCTGGGTGGCTGGGTGGCTGGGTGGTGGGAGGGTGGGTGTGGGTGCTGTTTGTTTGTGTGTTTGTTTGTTTGATTGTTTGTTTGTTTGGTTACGTGTTTGTGTGTCTGGAGTACCGTTGACAAGGTTGGCCTGCAGGGTTGGCAGTTTTGGTGTTCTTCATGCTGCGTGCCTTGTCAAGGTACCCAATTTGCGTTTCCTCGTGTTCCTCCAATTTTGACACAGCATACGCATTTACAATGTTTTCCAGTTTAGGTGGCAAACGGCAATTTTTTCGGCTGACGGGTTTCTTTATCAGTTTAGTCAAGGCCCAAGCAGTTTAAGCTCTGGTTTGCCAATGATCAAGGTCCAAAACTTGGGGATTCCTCATGTTTTTGTTTGTGACGTTTAGCTTTGCCCAGATTGGAAATTCCTTTTCCCTAGGGTGTAATCTCAAGTTTTCCATCCTGTCGGTTTCATGGTCATGAGCCAGCGGGTTGGCGAATGAATTCAAGTTCTTGTGTTAGTCGGGCCTATTCAAGACACCTAATCCAAATTCCTGGTCTCTTTCAAGTGTATGTCCGCAAACATGTGTTTTCCATTTCCGATGCCTCTTTTCTTTTTGAGAATGTGACCTGATACTCTACGAAAGAACTACGTTGACGCTAGTGGTCTTTGTCCAGCTGTTTTAGGGAATCCTTAGTTTTCGATGGAAAGAGGGAAATGTGGCCACGCCTGGGCCTTCCAAGGTGTGCATTTGTTCCCGCTCTTTTGGCCAGCTGCTTTTCTTCTAGCATGTTTCACCTTAAAACTCCATTGATTGGGACAAGGCCACCGCCCAAGGATTCAATTCATTTCGCCCCTCAATCACCGGGCCAGTGCATTTTGCCTGGCAGCGATGCTGCGCGACGTTTTCGCCCAGCCATAGATGTCCCTTCGAGTCAGTTCGGAGAACAACGTGTGCATCTCACTCGCGGGAAAAAACAGATGGGACCATTTGCTTGGCACCCAAACGTCCCGGGGACTTGTCCGAGACTCATGTTGCAGGTTGTCCTCAATGGTAATTCCTTGTCGGTTGCCACTGGGATCAGGTTGCCGGTCCTCCATGAGAGCAATGCCTGGCAGTCTGTGGAGGCCGCTTGCTCCTCAGCCGTGAGGAAAAGGATCTCGATCTAAATGACAATCGTGCACCAGGGTGCCGGAATCCCATGACGGGTAGGGATGGAAAAAAGTTGTTCCAGGCTCTGATAATTCGAGGCTTCTTCGCTGAGACTGGCTCAGTTGCCGGATATTTACGCATTATTCCACCTATTGTATGGTCAGGGGGCAAACCACCTTCACCATGACATAGGTCCTTGACTTGGGGATGCCTTGTTTCAGGTTTTGAACATATTGTTTAAACGTGCACATCTATCCATTACAGTGGAAGCCAAAGTTGGCCTTGTTTAACAGTTGGGGTTGAGGGTGAATTATTGGAGTTGAAGGACGTTGCACTCATTTTGAAGGCTATTCACCTCTGGGCACTTGATAAAACCATAATACCCTTACACCGGATCGTTATTGTTGACTGCTGTTGCTGACGGTTCCTGTCTTGAGGGTTCCCTTTCAGCCAGACTGGTGGCAGTTATGTTGGATGTGCAGGTGGCAATTGTTGGTGAAGATCGTGCAAACAACTATCAACAAGTGGACCGGACAAAGAGCATGTTTGTCATGTAAGGGCCCATCCCTCAACTTGTTTTACCAAGTTTGGAATGCAGACCGACAAGGAGGAAACCACAACGATACACCTAGAAGCCAGAAATGGGCGCACAGCTGTTACACTGTTTCAATTCAAATTTCCGGAGTTAGACATGTTACACGGCCGAACCGATAGTCAAACCAATAGCGAGCCGATGCAAAAGTCTCGTTAGCCGCCATGCCCATTCCAACCAACATGTCGTGTCTTTGACATCGGCAACTTAGAGCTCAGTTACATGCGGGTAGTTCCGGGACATTTCAAATCGACAAGGTCCATGTTGGCATGGCATGTACGGACCCCAGCTTAGATGCAACATGTGAATGTTGGCATTTGTTTCAGAATGCGCGCCCACTCTGGCACGGACCGGCGTTGTCATTGGAGGACGGAAAATGGCTTGGTTGACTTCAACCCTAAAAGGACTGGATGTGTTGTTTGGGGGGGAAAAACCCACGCAGGTAAACCCACTCCTCTTAACAGACAACCGCGGGTTTCGGAAGATCAGGAACGCTCACTTCAGCTTTTGGATGCATTGTTCTTTTCGTCAATATCTTTTACTGGAAAGTGGTAAACCTGAAGTCTAGACTTGTTCTGCCAATCCACAGAAGCGAGAGCAACCAGTTCAGGCATGATTAGCTCATTGGCCACTGAGGCCCTGCTGGTGAGTTCCGCTTTGCGACAAAATGGGCCTGTCCCCAAATCGGGGAAGCTGCATGGGTGATTTCCCCTTTTGACATGGCCAAACCAGTACCCCTCAAAGAGAAGCTACACCCTGAATTTCCCTAAAACGTTTGCGAGCATCAATTTCGTGCTACCTGCGATCATCCGAGGCCAGCAATGCCAAAGAGCAGGAACAAGCAGGACCCGCCAAGCATGTCAGCAGACTGGGTGACTGGATTGTTGAACACCAATTCTTTCTCGTCATGTCAGATGGTAGTCGCGGATTGGGATTCCCCCGCCATTTCCCACAAACAGAGCGGAGAGATGCGGCGCCAAATGGTGAGAGCTCGTCATCGAAAGTAGAACAAGCTCGCCCAACCCACCGAAGAATCCCTTCCAGAAGCTCTCTCAGCTTGTGAACCACCAGGGCCCAAAATACTTCGCTGGTTGCGGATCTTTAGCACACAAAGCAGACGTCTTAGGCTGAAGAGAGCACCGTGTCATTATTGGCCCCTTATATTTCGGTATTGTCAGCAGATACATTCGCCTTTCGAAACTTCCGAGTGGTTGGGCGGGGCATGTGGAGTTGCTCGGCATAGAGCTTCGTTGGGAGGGTTTCAATTCAGGGAAGCCTGGCCGTGATCCACGAACGGACTGCTGCCCATGGCACATATCAAATGCAAAACCAACCAAATACTTCACTTTCCAGGTTTCCACATGTGTCATAGGCTCAACGCATATTATGTTCACTTCAGGTAAAGATGGTCATCGACCCTTATGTATCGTTAGACAGTCATTTTGAGGCTGCTTTTCAAGCGAATCATGCCCGTGGCCCACAGAGTCGGAGTTTTGACCATGCCTTTGGTGGTTGTCTTACAAGGAAAACCTACAACATGAGCTTCAAGGGGGTGCCCATGTGAGTTGCCGAAATTACTGGTTGTCTGTGGTCAGTTTGGGGAGGCACCAGGGAACAAAATGCAATTTGTCCAGGGCTCACATGCCATTTTTTTAGTACTATCAGGGGACACCAAAAGGAAGCCACCCATTTCCAGGGTTCCTTTGCCACAAACCCCTTCGGAGCCGCGGCTTTTTGCCGACTTCAGGAGATGCGACTCCCGGCGCTCCACTGGCGAATTCGGCGGCGAATTCGACTGCGGGACCAGCGCGGTCAGTGTCAGCGCCCTGCGCCCTGAGCCCACCAGGCGAGTGGTGAGCTGGCAAAAGTGTAGGGGCCTCAAATTGGTTTGGAGGGTTCCCTTCAAGCCACAATTTAGAGGGCAATTCATGTTACACATATATACCTGGAGCCCAAATGTCCTTCGTTTTTGTAGGCCTTTCAATAAAAAAAAAAACGGTTTTTGAGAAAAAGGCCGATTCTTGGGGAAAGGTCGTATTTTGCTAGGAAGCCCGGTTCAGCTGTCATTTTAGACGACCTGTACGACCAGCATTTGACCTGATGTAGCATCTCATTCGAGCTTTTCACGAATCATAGTGAACTTGTATGTACACCACATGATGAGATTTGACCCCAAGCTTGACTGTTCGGGTCTAAGAAATGACGCATAAGAGACAGAAGGCAATGGATTCCACGCATGATCTCCTGCCATCAAATTCGAATCGGTCTCTTTCGTTCAACCCCAAGTGGAACCAGACTACAACCCTAGGATGCTAGCCTGGAAGTATTGACGAATCTAAAGGTAAACTTCTGACGCAGGGTTACACGCAAGCAATTTGCACATGACCAAGTCAATCAAGCATGCCACGTCTACTCCTGCTGGAGACAGCAACTTCCGCTTGGTCCTGCCCGCCGCGCGAAGACGGCTGCGCGGCAAACAAGGTGCCGCGCGTCTCCGAGCGACCGAGCGGAGTCGCTCCAATTGACTGCCCGAGGCCTTAAAGCGGAGGCGCGCCGCGCCAGCCCGCCAAGCAGAAACCCGCGCCGAGCGCGGAGAAGCCCACAGTTCTCAGCAGCGGCCCTACACTTGCAAAAGCACGCCACGTCCGCTTCCCGCGCGAAGGCGAGGATGACCGCCCGCTCGAAGCGCTGCGAACCGCCAGCGGGAGAGGCGACAAAGGCGTGCTAAACACAAAGCTCGGCGCGTTGTCGCGCACTGAAGCGTCTTGACAGAACAGAAACGCGCGAGCGCGGGGGAGGTTGTAGACCTCAGCCACGGCCTTACAGGTTGAACCTCCGCGCAAGAACACTACGAAACGCTACGCAAAAGCACGTTATGTTTGCTTGAGGCGCTGCGAGCCGCCGACCGCGGAGGACGGCCGAATGTTTTGAGTTTGAGCTTGACGGCCCCGCGCAACCGGCTGCGCCGCCTCGGCAGGACACACGCGCCAGCCCGCCAAACAAAAACCTGCGCCGCGCGCGGAGGAGCCCAGTTCTCAGCAGCGGCCCTACACTTGAAAAGCTGTGCAAAAGCACGCCACGCCTCCTTCCCGCGCGAGGCGAGGATGACCGCCCGCTCGAAGCACGGCAAGCCGCAAGCGGGAGAGGCGAGAGAGGCGCGCTGAACACAAAGCTTGGCGCGTCTTGACAGGACAGAAGCGCGCAAGCACGGGGGAGCTTGTAGACCTCAGCCACGGCCTTACAGGTCGAACCTTCGCGCAAAAACGGTGTGCGCCCACTTCGTCGCGCGAAGGCGCGGAAGATCTTCCACTGGAGGCGCCGCCGCAGACCACAAGCCGCAAAGGCAAGCTCGGCGCGTCATCCCGCGGAGTTCTGCGGAGTCGTCTCGACAGGCCGCAAGCGCGGGCTGGCCAAGCCGAAGGCAAGACAGCGTTTCGGTTTGCGCGTTCTTGCCAGTCGCCAGACTTGCAGGAGAAGATGCTGCGACGCGCACATGCACAGCACCGACATGCAATTCAACAACCAACCAAAGCGTTTCATAGACAGCCTTGATCTGCTTCGTTCCTGCCTTGGACAGCCCAGCTTTACCCGCTGACATTGAACACGTGCAGGTATGTATGGTAGTGTGCGCCTAGAGCATGCTAAAAATCAATCCTGGCATGATCCAATGGGGGAGCCCCTACCGACGCGCATTTTGCTGCACTGATGCAAGGAACAAGTTTCCACTAAAGCAGCCCACTCACGCACAAATATGTTTTCATCATATTGGGACACGTACTTGCAGGCCTTTACGCATAAACTAACTGGAATGGAATGTCGATGTCGGGTATGGGGCAGGAATGTTTCATCTTGACCTGTTGGCACTGTTTGGGGGCTCAGTGGTTCTGAAAGCAGGCTGCTGCTTCAGGGAAACGACCGCAATTTGCGCACTCGGCGTTGACTGGCTTTCGGGATTTCATGGGTGAGCGCTCACTTACGATTCTGGTGCCTGCTGCTTGGCATTGGGTGAAGCGCAGGTGCAACACTATAGTTGCATCTATAGAGGTCGATTTGCTTTTGATTGGCACAGTCCTGGCCACTTTGGATGTCAGCATTTTTTGTTGTTGTGATGTTGCACATGGGCATGTGTGGTCCAAAGTCATGCTGCCGCTTGTTGGCTGCTAGCGTTACTGTAGCGCGGGCTTATTGGTATGATTTTCCTTTGATACTCATCGGGCATGCCAACGCACGCGTTTTCTTGCATTTTGCGCGGTGGTTGTTGCAGTGTTGGACTGGCGCACGCTTGCTGCGCAAAGGCAGCAACAATCAGTACGCAACACACGCAGCACCTGCGGTGCAACATCCAGTTAAAAGCAGATCTGGCAGATGAGTTGTTGTAGTATTTCCCGCTCTGAGAAGACAACTGAACAGCACATCGTTCTGAAATAGCCGTTAAAACTGCATGCCTAAGCAACGGAAATCCGGACGTTTAGCGGGATCTTGGTCAAGTTGGTGGGCCACATGTCTGCCACGTGGTTTGTTGGAGCGGCGTGAGAGCGTAAGCGCGTTGTTAGCCGGCTCGCCCCAAAAAACCGTATTTTCATCCCATGCTCGAGAAATAGCAGCAGTTTAAAGTAAAGCAAAGGTGTATCACGTGGAGCAAACAACCTTTTGACAGACACGCGCTGTTTTGGAAAGGGGCGTATTTTTTTGAAAGGGGGGTACTTTTTGAAGGGGGCGTATTCTCACGAAAGGGGCGTATTTCAATCCAAACAGCAGGCCAGACACAAAAATGAGGGACAAACCGGCCCCAGGTAGATATTATATATATATATGCATATATGTATTATACAATGTATAGTATGCCTTTAAGCCTTCAGGGTGCCCTATTGTCCCTTTGAGAGGTTTAAACATCACCTTTTGGGTCAATTTGAACAGAGTCAAGCACCCGCAACATAGGACATCAAAGCTGCCTATTTGGCGAGCTCATCTGAATCCAAACTCGCCTGGGGTTCCCTTTGTTCCAGGCAAACACAGCTTGAATCCTTGACCGCCCCGTCTAAAAGGACGCCCGCCCTTGTTTTGCACGGACTTCAACCCATGGGACAGGGGGGAGGTGGACATAGTCACATGACAACCTACTTAAGTCCCGGGGTGGGTTTGTATTCCAACAAGAATATCGGACTTATATAGCGTATTCATATACACTGAGCTCGCCTTTTTCGAGTTTTGCATTTTTTTCAATACTCCCTTTCAACCAGCAACAACTTCAGTCTTTGCGGTTTGGCAAAAACACGTACTGGTTTCAATTCTCCTGGTAACCAAGTATATTCCAACCCTGGATTTACCCTCCCAAGTGTCATGGCACATGACGAAAGGAGCTCCCTGCCTGTCCAGTTTCCTATGAAGGGGGCAGGCTTGCTCCCAAAATATGACGCCAGGGCAATGAGGGGCCTGGATTCAATCGGACAGCAGGAAGGCCTCACTGTAAATCCAACGGGAGTACAAGCCTTTGTTAAACTGGCCAGGAATTTGGGTTGGTTTCATGGCAACATACTGTGGGATGCACGAAATCCAGCACCCAAGAAACCACAGTAGGCTCCGTGGCAATGTGAGTTGAACACCAACATGGCACTTGAGGGAAGCCACCCCTTGTCAGCTTCCCATTCCGGTGGGAGGCAGTGTGCTATAAGGGCCTTAATAGTTTGAATCGGGTGGGGTACTCGTCAAAGTTCCTTGTGATTGTGGAAAACAATTCTAGTATTTATTTGTCCCCTCACGAATTCACAAGCAGAACATAACATATGGAACTCTCCTTCTTTTTGGCATATTGGACCCTAAAATATGTATATAGATAGATCGATAGATCGATAGATCGATAGATCGATAGATATCGGGCCCCAAACTCAAATAGAGCCTTGAGGCCCTTGCTGTTGCTTCCGCCAGTTCCCGGAGCTCCGGTGGCTGGCCGGGCCTTCCCCGCGGCCAAAGCCGTCGCGGCGCCGCCTTCAGAGGCGGAGTCGAGCCGATACTCCCTAGCGTCCATTTGCTTAAGTATGTTTTTTTCCCCCCTTGTTAGTTTTAAAAGGAATTTATGACTACTGGAAATGTTGTTGCTTAAGAACATGTTTTCTTTTCCCTTGTTAGTTTTCGAAGGAGTTCATCACTCCTGGATATTCTCAAGAATATGTTTTTTGATCTTCCCTTGTTAGTTTTGAAAGGATTTATCGCTACTGGAAATATCTTTGTTTTTTCCATTGGTCTTAGCCAAATGGATGGTCGCCTTTCGGGGTTGGCTTAGTAAGAACCATTTTGGGACACCAACCCATTTTGGGGCTCCCCATATTTTGAGGCATACCCAGACTCAAGGCGGGGAACTTGGAAAAGAGGTACCCTGGGCTTGGCCCGCTTTGGGAGCTTCTGGCAGGGGTAGAAGACGTATGGCCAGGGTTATGAAACGCTTACAACGTAGAACTGACCATATCCCTTGGCAATCCAAAAGTGAGGATTGAACCACCGGGAAAACGCACACCCTGTGACATACGAAGAGCACCGGACCTTCTGAATCAATCCTATCGGTTTTATTGTTGGGTATTAATTTTGGATGGTCCCTTATCGGCTCGTGGTAGCAATATTATTGCTTACTCACATGACCCCCAACAACGCAGGGCAAGTTCTAGCGACCACACGAGGGATTTTGCAACCTTACTGACTAAGGTTCCTCTTATAGAAAGCTCCAAATGGGGTAGGGGGACTTCCAAGATGGATTGCGAAACAGTTCTCCTCAAGACAGCGAAAGGTGAACAGGTAACAGAACCCTAGTTGAGGATGTTGGACAAGAAAAGAGACCTCGCCAACTCCCAGTTGGTTGTTGAACCTCACCCGTAATGAATATTATCTTCATTGGGGTCCCTTGCTTTGTGTGAGGGAATTAGTGCCCCTGTGCCCCAAACATATGCCCGTCTATACCTTTTGCCAAATGCTGAGCTCTTGGCCAAAACGAGCTCACAATGTGGGTCCTTCACTTGGGGGTCCAATCCAAGTCTTATTTCTGGTTGAATTTTCGTGGATCCCCGGTTCAAAGGGTTTTCGAAGTTGGGGGCACGAAAGCCAGGAGCATGTAATAGTTTTCCTTGATTGGGCTGATGTTTGATACAACGCGCAGGTTGTCCTTTGAGAAACCGAATGCTCTCAAAATGGCCCGAACACAGGTAGGTATTGGAGTGGTTGTTGATTAAACAACAGTTTTCGAGCAACAATAGTCGGGGATCAGGAATTGGACAACGGGGAACCCCCATCAGAACCCCGAACAAAGATCCCAGTCAAAGAGTAGCATAAAGCAATCCAAATGATTTTGCGGCTTTTCCCAAAGGATGTATACGTGTCCTTTTTACGCCAGTTTGTTTAAATATAGACTGGTTTCTACGTCCATTTACCAGGGCAATCAGACCAAGAAGCCAGACCCTCTTTGCAACTTCCGTTTTAGAACCAGACCGAACACGGCGCCCTCCAGTACCAGTACAGTGCGGGCGCGGTTGGTCGAGGCCCAGGGGGGCTGAGTTTCTTAGCGTCCATTTCGTCTTTAGCAGAGCTGGTTTTTACTGTTCTGGAGCCAGGGGGGCTGGATTTCGTAGCCAATTTCTTAATCTTGTCGTTTTTGAGGGGAATGAATTCCTGAATTTCTTAGCAAAGGAGCCCTTCATCGCCCGAAAAGGCCGCTAAGAAATCCGAAGGAGCCCTTCATCGCCCGAAAAGGCCGCCAAGAAATCCAGCCCCTGCATTTCTTGGCAAAGGAGCCCTTCATGGCCCGAAAAGGCCGCTAAGAAATCCAGCCGCTAAGAAATCCAGCCCCTAGATTTCGTAGCAAAGGGGCCCTTCATCTTCCGAAAAGGCCGCTAAGAACTCCAGCCCCTGGATTTCTTAGCAGAGACCATTTGGAAAGCCTCCCTAGTCTTGACACTCTGGCAGCCCAAAACGGACCAACGCTATGATTCTTGGGTCTTTACTACCAAACTTGATCCGGACAGAGAGGCATCTGTTATGTACTCATCGAAACTATCGTGGTAGAACAAACAACTAATTAGTCAGAGCGCGGCTCGGTGGTTAGCAACCCCATTAACTAGGGTTGCAAACCATGTAGCCAACCTCCTGGACCAAGCAACCCCGCTTCCCCTGGTCTCCAATTGCCTTAAAAAGGACTGTAACCCAGTGCCAAACTTGAAGGGGGCAGGATTGCTCACCTCAAAACAATGAAGCCATGGGGATAGGAACCTGGTAAACAGGTCCTGTGGTGCGCCCTTTCCAAAAAAGGTGCCTATTTTTGGGGACAGAGCTTTTGTGGCATACCTGGCAGAAAGGGAGTTGTAGGGTCAGAATCCTAGGGGTAGCTTCCCCATCCTTTTCAGGGGTCCTTCTTTCCGAAACGGCTGCCTATTGAAAAGGATGGTTGAAGAACAGGGAATCAGACCCCTAGAGCCTTATATCCAGGGTTCAGTAGGTTCACTGGTCCACCGGCCACAGGAGACAGAAGAAGCAGCAAGGCCGGCGCGGAGTTTGGACGAGACCCACTTGTTCAGTAGTGTCTACAATCTAAATATCTTTTCTGAGGGATGGATCGTGACTAACATGGTCAGCTCCCCCAATCGGGGTTCCATGTTTTTTTTCTGCCAGAGTCAAGGGAAACTGTGATCGTGCCCGAAGCAGGAGCCCTAATTGTAAAGGGCTAAAATGCTTCCGCCCTCTATGATGAAGATCAGGAATCCTTAAACTTGTTAGGTTTGTGAAATTGTAAATTCTGGAAACTTGGCTCGCATGAAGTGGACAGGGTTGCGCTTGTCATGTGTGCGTTAGACACCCCTGCCGCCAAGAAGAATCCAGAAAGGCGTCTGGGATGTCTACATCAGACATTGGGCATGCCGGACCTTGGCCAGACCTTGCTAGCTCTTTTGCCCTTGGAGTTTCTGCACCAGCAAACAAGTTTCCTTGCTGCAGGGGAGACTAGTTTCTGAATTGGCCCCAAGGATCTCAAGCCATGTGCCGGGAAATGTTGACGCCAAAGTGATTCGTATCCACGCCTGACATTGGCGTCCCTTTAAGAGGACAATTATCTTCGAGGAGCTTTGCCAGAGATGCCCTCTGTTTGTGGGATGACGGGCAGCCGTGCCACAAATGCGAAACCAAGTCGCATGAATTGATGCTCAAACATCAAAACATACTGGGCGCCTTGCGGAACTTCAATCTGCCAAGGCTCCTTGCAAAGTTCCAGAGTCGCCTGAACCCTCCTAGCCAGGCGGGATCCATTGGGCAACGGCGAGGCGGGATCAGGGCGCTGATTGTCCAAGTCGGATGCTGAACCTCCCATCAGAGTTACCCAGAACAACTGAAACACGGTCAAACCTCGAGGTCAATATTGCTAGAGTTTGTTTTGGTTGCCCCTTTCAGGACTTGCGCCTGAGACATGTTAAATCAGAAAGCAACAGCTGACAGTCCCTTGGTTCACTGTAGTCTTAGGGTCTGTTCCTGTGGTTGTTCAGGTTGCAAAGAACAACGAATTTGAAGCTGACATGCCAAGGGTCGGGAAGGATTCAGGTTTCCCAATAGACTAGATTAGACTAAAAACGGCCGAATCTTGCATAGAAACAGATCTAAACTGTGGTTTTAGACAAAATCCGTGTAGTCCAAAAAATCAATCTACAACGTAGCCCCGCAACGAGACTAATAGCTTAAAAAGACAAACCGAATAGACAGAAAAGTCTCTACCGAATCGACAGGCTTTTGAAACAGAACCGCGGTGTCGAAAGATGCGATTTAGACAGAATAGGATAGACCGAATTCCTAGAAATAGATCTACGCCAAGTGCGGCAAAACTGCGGGCAAACTACGAGGAAAGCTCGCATTGAACCACTAGCATGCGTAGGAAAACTTGGAGGAAAGTGCGGGGAAAGTGCGGGTTTAGCTTGTCCAAAACTGTGACTTTTCACAGACTGAGCCGCCAGCAGTTTGCAAGAAGTTTCGAGGAAACTTCGGGTTTCAAGGTTTGCCTAACACCATGAATTAGACCGAACATTTAACCTAATAGTCAGAATTTATTTGGCCTAATTAGTCTATTTCCGTTTCCAAAAAACAGCCGGAAAAAAAAACTACCGAATAGACAGAACAAGTTCTGACTAATAGTCAACAAATGCCCGTAGGCAAACACGAAATAGACCGAATCCGCAAATTTGTCGAATAGACAGTTTTCTGACTTATCCGGTCTATTGAGTTAGCGTTTACCAGGCCAGAGGATCACCTGAGCCGGGTCCTATTGATCAAGTTATGAAAATCCAGCTCTTGCTGTGGAGGGTGGGGAGGACGCCTTTGTATATTATACCCTCCCCTCCCCATGCGATTCCATTCATAGGATTCCAACCCTCCGCCGACTCCCACCCTTCTCATGTTTCCTCAAAGTAAGGCCTTACTGGCCTTGGGCAGGACCAGTTTGGAGGCAATCAGGGGGACGGGTTAGGGAAATGGGGCAGGTTGGAAGACCCTTTGGACGGCTTTGTTCCAATTGCATTGGGAGCTACCATCGCCATGTTGTTTTTGCTATTTGGCAATTTGTCCCTAGGGACCCCTTTCTAATAGGTTTGGGTAGATTCATTTGAAACCCTTGTTCGGCCTTGCTTGTTGTCTACCCCGCAAGCCATGGAGGGCTCGACCACGTACAGCAAAGCCATGTCTTTTGCCCACCCTGACTGGAATGACCTGAACCAGTGGTTTGTTTGGTGTGAGTCCACAGCGAATCGACCTTTTATTCCTTTGATTTCTCTGGCTGGGTTCCCGTTTGTTAGTCAAGATCCCAACAGGAGAGTTTAAGGTTCTTTGGTGTGTGAAGAATGAGCCAGCCCAAAGGCCGAGCCTCAAAAACAGTTTCCCACCTGTTCGTTTGGTTGAAGGTGCCCGAAGGGAGCCCCGTTTGCCGACCCAAGACAATGCTTGAACTTGAACACAAATGCCACCCCCTACCCTGAAAAAGGAAACATGTCAAAGTACGCAGATAACTACCCCCTCCAAATTTAACAAAATAAAATAGGTAAACAAACACGAAAAGACACAACAAAGACAGAAATTACACCAGAACAAAAACTGATCATTTTGTTCTGTTGTCCATTTACCACCCCCCGGTACAAGCCTTGGCACCTCTCACAGGTGCCCTTCTGCGGAGAGGAGGCAATGCTGCGGCCAGCAGCAGGGAGCCCCTGAGGGCCGAAAAGGGCCCCCCAATCCCACAACCTAATAGGGTTCCTTTTGAGTAGTCCAACCCAGTTAGGTTTGAGTCTGTTTGAGGGTACTGGCTTGGGAAACCACAAGCTATTTGTGCTATAGGCAAGGGCCCTCATTGGCAATATGTAGGGAATCAACCCTACCTAATATCTTTTCCTAAGCAAATTTACGTAAAGTAGGCTAAACACGAAACAGAAACTTGAAATGTCCCTGTCTGTGTACCTGAGATGTGGGCCAAACTAGGATCTTCTTCAAAAGGTGGCAATAGCCCAGAAATTCGTGAAGTGAAACAATCATCACAGCAAAAGTAAAGTCACAGGACAGAATTTGAGCTTTCAGGTAAGGTTCTCAAACACCACCTCCTTGTTTGGGCAGACACCATTTTTAGATCTAGAATTGGGGGGAGACATTTCGGTGGTTGTCCTCTTCGTTTGGCCCAAAGCAAAACGAGAAACAAAAATCGAAAGAAAAAGCAAAAACAAAAACACGCTGAAATCACATCCCATGGACCTGCAAGGCACTGCCAGGGCTGCACGTCCAGCTCTTCCGGCGCCTTCAGGACTTCCGAGGGCTCGGGTCTTCAGGACTTCCAAATATTGCGGCCAAAATGGTGAACAATTGAAATGCTTGTTTTTGTTCTGTGTGTTTTCATTTCTACAATAAGAATCATCTCATTTGCATTTGTTTGCTGTGTTTGGCTGCTGAAGATCTCTTAACTGTAGACGAACCTGTTGGAAACCGATCAACCAAGAGGTTAGACCCTTTGCTCAGGGAAGAGCAGCTCAGATTTGGGCGTGTCCAAAAGGGGGCGCCCTTGAGGTGAGGTGGGTGGCAGAAAGGGGCTGAAGTGGTTGGCCCATGTTTGCTGGCTCTGAATCCTTTAAGTCGTGCGAAAAAGACCCTTCAATCAGAACCCCTCTTAGAAATTTCTAAGAAGCTTTTTGGGGGGCATCGCCCACGGGTTTCTCCCTAGCCTTGTTTCAATGGTAGCAAAGCCCTAGACTGTACGTGTCGGCATTTTCTATGGGGGCTATGCCAACTGAAATGTGCTCTGGCGTCCGTGTGCCTTTTGATGTGCTCTTTTTTGAGAAACTGTCGATTTTGATGAGCCGCGAGGAAAGCCTGCCAATTTGAGGGTTGCTTGGCCCCTTTGGAGACAAATCCAAACTACCAAGTAGAGAATGCGGGGTTGGGGGTGTCTGAATTGGAAGTTGGTATTATACAAGAGGCCATTGCCAAGCATGATCCACCAAACAATTGTTCGGGCTACTAGGTCCGGGCTCCAAACAAACGCACACGTATTCAGGATTCCATTTGTTGAGTAATTCAAGAATGTGGTGGGGCTTGGGTTCGTTCGGGGTTCGTCGAAGATCAAGGGCTGAAATCCTGGCACTGGCCCAAAGCTCACGCAACCGCTTTCCGAAAGCAATCGTAAAGCCAGCACAAATCATCTTCAAGCCAACCCCACGCCACCCAACGTCAACTCTAAACCCACCCGACAGCAGCCTGGATATCAGCCCTTTGCCGAGCCTAAATCAACCCCGAATCAAGATGCTGGGGGATGCGGCCAACCAACGCCCCAACTGGGTATGTACCAGAGACAACCTTTACGACTGCAAGGCTCCAGCTTGACCTCGCGGGGTGCTCTGAATGTTGACAGCCGTAAGAAACAGACATACCTTGTAGAAGAAAAGCCCAGACCTGGGAAAAAAAGCAAACAGCCCTGCTCAAGGCAGACTCGAAACTCATTGGCAGTTCATTTCCCAAAAGGGAGACTGGTTTAAGTCTTCCTTGGCTCAAGCAACGGAAACTTGCACCCATTTGCAACTCAATTTTGCACAGACGGCAGGCAAAGTGGCAATGCTATGATGCCTACTGCCGTGCCGCCAACTTAGCCTCGCTTCGCCGCTGTGCTTAGGGTTTGGGGTGAAATCTTATGACACATTTGGGAGGGCCAGTTCAGGCAAACCCACCTTGACTCCAATGATTGCGGATTGGGTCATCATTTTTGGGGTTGCTTTCAACAGCCCAGGTCGGGGTAGGTTGGGGTTGGGGTTTTGGGTTTGTGCCGGAGGGGTCGTGACCTCTAGGGTTGTTGATGTTTCCCTTGAAGCAACATCCACAGAGCATTTTTTGGGGGAGCGCCTTTTGGTTGGCAACCATGCGGAGAAATTCCCCATTTGGAGATATCTCGACTCAGCATTGCGCACGCCAGGTTAGGATTCAAGGGAAATCGAAACCGACAGAAAAGGATGGGTTTTGTGGGAACCACAATTGTGAGAAATACTCATTTGAAGATATAGGCCCATTGTCTTGAATCTACACATCCCATATTTGAATCTAGTTGACATCTCCAACAGAACGCCATAGCAAATTATTGGAAGGAATGCCAAAAATGGTTCCCCCCCAGACAGGAGAGTGCTCTGAAAATGGTGGTTTGTTGGGTCCCATGTCAATCTGCTGGGGAGTAAAGAGAAAGAGAGAGAGAGAGAGAGCGAGCAGGAACGAGAGAGGGAGAAAGCAAAGGACACAAAATAAGTAGAATGCAATAAAAACATAATTACAGAAAGACAGAAAGAAAGAAATACAGAAAGAAAGACCATATAGGACGGACGGACAGATAAGAGAAATGAATATAAATGAAGTAATGGCTAAGCAATGGCTATGGTGCCAACCCTTGTTCCAGGTGTGCATGGCTTTGGGAGTCAACCAGATCTTGCAGGGCCTCACCTATTACGCAATTGCGCCGGGCTTGGAGCGAGCGGACAGCGTAACCATGTTCCACTGCGTGATGATAACCACCTCAAGCTGCACATAGAGAAGACCATAAAGTGCTGGGATCTACCAATAAAGAGATGGCCATCAACCAGCAAGACCCATTTGGAACTATTCAAAGCCAATACCCTGGTGCTATTGTCGGTTGTTCATGTGTTACAGGGTTCCCTATGTGCGTGTTTTCACTGTAGCTTTGAACATTTCCTTTTGGTTGCCCATGGATTTTGTGAGTTTCATTTTTGTGGCTCAGAGTTTTCTGCCCCTAACTGGGTCCTTTCCCTTGCCAGCCAAATGTCTAGCCTTACCAATCGGGTCTATCCTCTTTGAGGCAACCCTGAGGTCGGGAAATTTCGGGGGCCCCTGTGCTTTTGGAGCTTCTGGACGTGGCATTTCCAGCTTGCGGTTCTTGTGTTCTGGACAACTTATGAGCTTAGAGCGCAAAACGTGGAATCGACCCGGGCACTCCCCTGGGCAGGTGGCTTTTATGCAAACAAACCGGTGCAGAGCCTTAGGTTGTTGATTTCTTTCCTGAGAAAGGACTCCTGCCTTTGGATCCGGAAAAGGCCACAGGATCGTTTGGAAAATTCATGTTGAGAAGAGAAGGCTTCTTATCCTTTCTTGAATTTAACATGAGAGCTATGCACATCTTCCCACATCTTGGGAGCTTAGCTGTCTTTGGAGGGTAGGCAGATGCTGCATGTCAGTTGTCCTTGCCTCGTTTCCTGCCCTGGACCCTAATCCTCGAGCCTTGAAGCTGACCCGAAACGGACCCGAGACGGGGCCAAAGGACGGGTTTCGGCCCAGCGTCCCAGTCGACAGCGGGGGCACCTGACTTCGGGGCGGTTTCCCCGCTTAGAATGTAGCTTGTTGCAGACAGGGTTGGCTTCCTGTTTTGTACGTGGGAAACGTTTCTGCCAACTAAGCCATATATTAGCTCCGAAGATTGGGTTCAACACTAGTTGGTTTCTTATGTACCCCTGCACAGCGGTGATCGCTATTTTCTCGAATAATCGGCACATGACCACTAGTTTGTGCAAAGACCTCCTCCCAAGAAACGTTTTTGGTTGGGATGGGACTGGAGAGAGTTTTCTATGAACTCGTTTGAGCGGTTAGCCCTGTGTTTCCTGGCCGTTGTCTTTTTGCTACCAGGTTTTGTGTTTTGCCCATGATTTCAACACCACATATAACATGTGGCTTTGTCATTGTCTACTCTCGGACCCTCTAGGATTGTTTCCTTTCGCTTTCCCGTTAAAGCCAACCCTCGAATCAAGACACCCTCATATATGGCGCAAAATGGCAGATGACCCTTGGGTAATCAGGGTCAAGAGACCCTCGCCTGGATCTTCCCGTGCTTCGGGTTCGGCTGACCCCCTGCGCAGAAGGCCTCCACTGACAATGGGATCAGCTTCACGCATAAGTTGGTGTTTCCACAATCACATCCTCAAGAGTCCCCGGGAAAATAAAGGTGTCCCTTGCTCAGGAACGACACATGAAAGACTGATTCCGTTGGTTCAAGCCCCGCCAAAGGTGCACACTCTGGTAGAGAACAGGTCGCCCAGTTGCGGCTCGGAACCTCAGCTTGGGCGCTGGGGGCCGGGTTGTTCAGCCACCGGTGCGAATCCCTACTTGTGTTTTTTTTGTTTGTTTTCCGGTTCGTTGCATCTTGGTGACTTTGTGAAGAGGCATGCCCCTCAGCAAAATCCGCAGGACGCGGCTAGATACAGCCCATTTCCGTTGGCAAGTTAGGTGGTTCCTACTACCCAGCTGCTAGCTTCTCGGGGGGGATAGAGTGAAGTCTATATGAACTTGTATATCCATGTTGGGTTCCGACCGATTCAACAATCGGCGGGTTTGCAAACACATCTTTGTGTTGGAGCAATTTCCTCGTTGGAAGATCTGAGGTTCTCGTGTGGGAGGGAATGGGGATTTCCAAGGTCTGACAGCTCGTTGGAGTTTGCACCATGGCCGTCATGTCTCTTGCCCAAGATAGTTTACACACCTCAAACCTCGAATGTTGACCCCGGATGAATAAACCCCTGTTTATTTTTATTGGGGGTGTCCCTGGTTTTAGTGGGGGTGTACCCCAAGGTGCTATGGTTTAAGCGTTTGGACACCCAAACGCCCGCCTTTTTTTTTCTTTCGGTCCCAGTCCCGCGGGCTGAGTCGCTGAGAGGCTATGCGCTGATCGTGATCTTCCAAGCTGCAGCTCTGGTCAGGAGCTCAGCCTGATGAGCCGTTCATCAAAACCCGGGAAGTTCTGGGCACTTTCGAATTGCGTCTTATGATCATGAAGAGCCAAAGTTGATTGGCAGCTGTTGATGTAAAAAAACGTCTCTATGGGAAGCTGTTCATGGCTTTCATGTAGCCGCTTCCTCAATCCCCGGTGTCCCGACTTGGTGAGGCCAGGCCATGGTTTAGATAGTGATTGATCACCCCGGAGTAACGTTTTAAGGCAAATTGGGTGTGCCTCTTTTTTTTTCCAGGCGACTCTTTAGAAGGCTAGTTTGGGTTTTAAAGGGAAACTACAAGGAAAAGCAAATTTTTCGGGGTTCTCCTAAGAAAAAACACACCCAAATGGTTGTTTGGTATTGCGGGGGGGTTTCCAATCCTTTATTTCATCTCCATGTCTTAGGGAAATTCCGCCCCTAATCCTCTAGGTTGATTTGGGCTTGACATTATTGATCACCCCCAGATAAACAAATACGGGGGATCAATGTGTGTGTGTGTGAGTGTGTGTGTGTGTGTCTGTGTGTGTGTGTGTCTCTGTATGTGTGTCTCTGTGTGTGTGTGTGTGTGTGTGTCTGTGTGTGTGTGTCTCTGTGTCTGTGTCTCTGTGTCTCTGTGTCTCTGTGTCTCTGTGTCTCTGTGTCTCTGTGTCTCTGTGTCTCTGTGTCTCTGTGTCTCTGTCTCTGTGTCGTCTCTGTGTCTGTGTGTGTGTCTGTGTGTCTGTGTGTGTGTGTGTCTGTGTGTCTGTGTGTGTGTCTGTGTGTCCTGTGTCTCTGTGTCGCTGTGTCTCTGTGTCTCTGTGTCGCTGTGTCTCTGTGTCTCTGTGTCTCTGTGTCTCTGTGTCTGTGTGTCTGTGTGTGCCTGTGTGTCTCTGTGTCTGTGTGTTTGTCTCTGTGTCTGTCTGTGTGTCTGTGTGTGTCTCTGTCTGTGTGTGTGTGTGTGAGTGCGTGTGTCTGTGTGTCTGCGTGTCTCTGTGTCTCTGTGTCTCTGTGTCTCTGTGTTTCTGTGTCTCTGTGCTCTGTGTCTCTGTGTCTCTGTGTCTCTGTGTCTCTGTGTCTCTGTGTCTGTGTGTCTGTGTGTCTGTGTGTCTGTGTGCGTGCCTGTGTGTGTGGCTGTGTGTCTGTGTGTGTGTGTGTCTGTGTGTCTCTGTGTCTCTGTGTCTCTGTGTCTCTGTGTCTCTTTGTTTCTGTGTCTCTGTGTCTCTGTGTCTCTGTGTCTCTGTGTCTCTGTGTCTCTGTGTCTCTGTGTCTGTGTCTCTGTGTGTCTGTGTGTCTGTGTGTGTGTGTCTTTGTGTGTGTGTTTGCCCAATAAGGATATGATCCCCCCTTCAAAGAAGGAGAACGCCCCGTATCAGCCGAATTCTGCTCAGCCGCCCGTTCATGGACGGCGTTTTGCGCGAACGGACGAGAAGCCTTGGGTAGCCTAGGATAAGCCCGTAGCAACGCGTTTTAAGCAGTTGATGTGGCCACAGCCAAAGTCCCCACAGAACATGGGAGCTGGGGAGATCGTTGACTTTTGTATTTCATATCCCCCTCAAAGGGTTCCATTTTTTAGATTACCCCAGGCACTTGTACACTAGTCATTATGACGGTAATACTGCGTAATTCGAGCCACAACCGACTTCCAGTCTTCCCCTAGTCTTCCCTTCCTCTTCCCACGCTCTTCCCGTATGGTTCCTAGACTTGGGTCGCTTTTGATTTCGATCACTCCATTTTCAATCAAAGAGTGTGCACCCTTCTTGAGCCGGGGTATCCAATTTGCCCTTCAAGAGGGAGCTGCGACCAAAGGATTCCTTTGGCTGTTCCAGCTCCGATTCTGCAGGCTGGCACCCACCGACCCCAAAGCATAGGGTGTTCCCAAACTCGGTTGGGTGGCTTCCTTGGGTTCCCACAAAGTTTCTCAGTACGGAACTCCCAAGCAGGTCCCTGAAAACAAATCTTAGGGCCGTGCTATGGACACCAAGGGTCTGTTTTGCAGATACCTCCAGGTTTTCCCCCCCCATGAGCATCGACCCAGGAACATGCGTTGTATCTCCTTTGGTTTGCTTACAGGGGTTGCTGCCCAGTCAGTGGTGCATCTTATTTTCCCCGCTTGTTTGGAGGTGTTTCCTTCGAACTCAAACCAACAAATGGCTGCGCCCATGTCTCCTACCTTTTCGGGCCAGTAGACAAATCGTGCCCTTTGGTTTCCGAATTGTGTCCAATGGTCAAGCCCGAATAAACAACACCCCGGAGATGTTGTTCAGGGTTCCCCCGAAAAAAACCACACACTGGATTGTTTGTTTCATTCAAGCCCAAGACGTGTTCTTTCAACCCTACCCGAATGGGCTCAGGCTGTGGCAGTTCTAGACATCTCTGGCCTACGCCGGAGAGCGCTATTGGCCGTGCAGGTGGGAGGTTTGGGTGCGGGTGTGGGGGTTTGGGGGGCTTTGGGGCGTTTGCGGGGTTTGTGGGTTTGTGGGGGTTTGGGGGGTTTGTGGGGGTTTGGGGGCTTAGGGGGGTTTAGGTGGGGTTTAGGGGGTTTGGGGCGGTTTGGGGGTTGATGGGTTGTCAGAGTACATGCGGTGTTGTACTACATAGCTTGTACATGACTGCAGGCCTTGAGCTTTATTACATTGCGAGCCCATGAGAGAAACAGGAGTTGCGCAGACTACAGGTTTGTTTGTGTTAACAACATTACAGCACTTGCACTTGTAGTAAAGCAGTCTGAGTTTAACGTGGTAGCGGAGCTGAGATCCTAAACACACGGGAGCTCCACTACCCAGCAGTAAGTACTACAACAACTGCAACAGCAACCACGTGCCAAACTACTACAACATGTCAGGAGAGAAGCAGCATCAGCTTCAGCACAACAACCTACAGGAACAGAGAATGGGCCAACATCAGAAACAGTAGGAGCACGACTGTGGGAGCAGGAGCAGGACAAGACAAACTCCCAGTATGAAGAATGGCTGTTGAAGCTACAAGCATATCTCGGACTCATAGACCGAGACTTCGACTTGGTGCTACAATTGGCGCAAGTAGCTGCGCGACAAGTTGATGATGCAGACATCAGAGCACACATACGCGACCCTACACAAGCGAGCAAAGCAGTAGACCTCGCCAGAGATCTACACTACATCCTCATCATCATACGTCAGGGAGCAGCTACAGTAGTAAGGCAAAAGTGCTACAACGCAAATGGATGTGAAACACTACGACTCTTTGCGCAACAGGTTCAGCAGTAGGAGCACGAAGCGTTGGCTACCTTACCAAACTACTGGAACCCACATTGAATGAAGCACAGTTTGAAGAGCAAGTCCTACAATTTGGAATGCGACATCAACCGCTACGAGAAAGACAACGGCACAGCACTACCAGATTGCAGTACTACTCAACAAAACCAAAGGAGCAACAACATCTCCAACTGCGGGCTGGACAGATCACGAACTACAGCGAGATCAGAGCAGTCATCCTGGACTACTACTAGTACTACTACTACAAGGCGATCTCTGCTTTCTCAAGAGCGACTTCAGCTGTAGGCGCAAACTACAATGGAGGACCTGTACCAATGGACGTTGACAACATTTGCAGGAAAGGAAGAAACTACAAAGGCAAAGGAAAAGGCAAAGGCCACTACAAAGCAAGCAAAGGCAAAGGCACATGGAGGAGCAAAGGGCACTACAAGGGATTTGCAAAGGCAACAAAGGAATTTAGAACAAAGGAGGATACAACAAGAGGAGAGGAACAGGCTACTCTGGATCCAAAACTATTGATCAAGCAAAGGCCACAAAGGCCAAGGAAACTACAGGAAAGCAAAAGGAAAAGGAAGCAACAACTACATGACGGGCCACCGCTGGGCCCAAACTGCGGAGCGCCCGTCTGGCACATAGGAGAAGGAGAAGAACTACATTCACCAGACCAAGAACAAGCAGATCAGGACAACAATGAAGAACTACCTCAGGATCATAACGACACTGGAGACTGGTACTACGAAGGAGGAGAAGGACATGGGCGCGAGGTGAACTACATGGAGGACAGTTGGAACGACTACAACTATGACAACAGCTGGGATTGGAATGACAACAGCTACGAAGACACAGCAAACTACATTGGAGGCATCCACAAGTCACACCTCACCATTGGACACATCAGGCAATCTAAGTCACTATCACACAAGCACAAATCCAAATCACTACTTGGAAAGAAAGCAACACACACAACATCATGGAACGACCGCAGCAAAAGCTTTCAACAATTCCTTCAAGAGAACACAGCACAACTACACTCTGCAACTTCAAGTCATACCACCACCTGCTGATCGACGCAGGAGCATCTACACATGTCTGCCCACAGGGCTACGCACCAGATCTACCACCACGACCTTGTGGAGAATCGGCTTCACCAGTCTACACGGTTACCAACAAGAAGATCCCTGTCTACGATGTTCCTTACAAGCAGGACAATTTCAGGATCATGATACCCTACTACGTTTGTGATGTGAGGTGAAGTATCCAATCCTCCGTGCATCAAGACTACTTTGATAGAGGATATGGACTCGACTTCAATCCACGACACTGCGCGATCACACGTGGACGACAACAAGCACACCTCATCAGACACTCAGGACTCTTCTACCTACGGGCAGAAAAGATCGACATCCCTACAGGATTCGACATCTACCCAATGAGTACAGACAATGGAAAATCCATTGCTGTGATTCAACCTACAGAGAAAGCAAAACAACAACAAGAACAAGTTGCACACACACACACAGACCAAGGATTGCGACAGATCCTTGGTGGAGACACTGACTACTGGAAACTTGATGGTGACTACGCCATCAGCACCACGCAACAGCGGCTGCCCAATACCAGAAGAAGAACTAGATGATTGGCGACTCACCATCATCAACAGACAAGGGCAAGAGCAAGAACAACTACAAGAGACCCCCAAACAACTTTCCAAGCAAGAGCTACAAGGAAGACTAGAGGGTGACAACTGGACTGGAGAAACCAGATTCAGAAGAAAGATAACACCTACACGCAGAGCAACATCAAAGACAACACCAACAAGAAAGAGCTCACAACCACAACTACTACTGGAGACACCACCAACAAAGCCAAAGATACAACTACGAGCTCCACAAAAGATATGGAGACCCAAAGCAGCACCTTCTACAGACCTTGATACCACACAACCAAAGGCGACCACACACAGACCACTCACAGCACAAGAAGACAACCAAGACTACTGGCAAAGACAAGGTGGACACTGGATAAGACACCACATATCACTCAGAACTACACTGTTCACTCCAACAGGTGGACCAGGACATCCACCACTCGAGCCTCAGAGAACTAGAATCACCAATAACTTTGTCCACTGCAGAACAAACTCTGGCGGCTAAAGAAAGCCATGTACGGACTACGCAGCTCACCTAAAGCATGGCTTTGTGAGACTGAAGTCAGAACCCAACGTCTACACCAATGCAATTCGCGACTGCTACATCATGGTCTACGTGGACGACCTGTTGGTACTTGGAGCCAAGACTACTGTCGACTCCATCTTCGAGGCCATCCAGAAGCAGGTACTGCTCAAGCGCGTTGGCTACCTCGAGCCTGGCCAACCACCGCAGTTCCGGGGAAGAAACATCGAGCGCTTTGGCAACTGCTGCACTCTACATCGACAACATGATCAAGGAGACTGGAATGACCAACTGCAACACGGTGACCGCTTCAGGAATCGCCACAAGCCAACAATAGAGGATGAAGCATTACTCGACCACGAACAACATACTTCAATGGTTAGCATACACAACACAAGACATTGCCTACGCAACAAAAGAACTAGCGCGAGACCTCACAGCACCTACAGAACTTTCACAAAAGAGAGTCAAGCACCTACTACGCTACTTGCACGGCACCAAACACTACAAGTTCACCATAGAACCAACAACAACCGTAAGGGCAAACACCAACAACATCCTGGATCTCGACGTTCATGCCGACGCTGACTGGTCAGGACGCCCTACTACTAGGAAATCAACTTCAGGCTTTAACATCATCTTTCTTGGAACAGCAGTAAGCTAAACTTACGCATTCACGCAGACCCCACGGCAGACAAGAGCATTGCTACACGACAAGGCACAAGCAATCGAGCAAAACGCGTTGACCTCAACTTCCTCTACACGCAAGACCTCATCAAACACGACATCAGCAGAACCCTCAAAATCAACACACTTCACAACAGCGCAGATTCATTTACCAAATACATCAGCAAGGAAACACTACACAGGCTCATTCAGAGCATTGGGATATGCATTTAGCACTACGAACGACCAGCAACTGCTTCGCAACAACAACAACGACAACCACAACGACAACAACAACAACAACAACCAACAACAACAGCAGCAGCAGCAACAACAACAGCAACAGCAACAGCAACAGCAACAGCAACAGCAACAGCAACAGCAACAACAGCAGCAGCAGCAACAACAACAACAGCAACAGCAACAGCAACAGCAACAGCAACAGCAACAGCAACAGCAACAACAACAACAACAGCAGCAGCAGCAGCAACAACCACAACCACAACCACAACCACAACCACAACCACAACGACAACCACAACCACAACGACAATGACAACGACAAGGACAGCGACAACGACAACGACAACGACAACGACAACCACAACAACAGCAACAACAACAACAACGACAACAACAGCAACAACAGCAACAACAACAACAACAACAACAACAACAACAACACCAACAGCAGCAGCAGCAGCAGCAGCAGCAGCAGCAGCAGCAGCAGCAGCAGCAGTAGCAAGAACAAGAACAAGAACAAGAACAATAACAGGAACAGGAGCAAGAGCAAGAGCAATAACCAAAGCAAGAACAGGAACAATAACAGGAACAGGAACAAGAACAAGAACAAGAACAAGAACAACAACAACAACAACGACAACGACAGCGACTTCAACAGCAACGGCAACAACCACAACCACAACGACAACAACGACTTCAAACGTTTTGTATGTAGCAGCTACATGTAACATGACAATTTTGGTATGTAAGTAACAGTAACTACTTGTAATGTCACTTGCGCTTTTGGCGGCATGTTTGGCGGCTTCAGTCAACACTACATGTGTGTTTGTTTTACATGTGTGCCCGCTTCCTGTCAGCAACTACAGGCTCACTTTAGGTGCCCTGTTTCACTTCATTTTTTAAGACCACAGCCATGGACCATTTTGCGACTACAATCGCTGAGGACGAGGTTGACACGGCGTCGCCTGAGCCTACTACACCCGCCTCAGCCTGCGGCGCACAGGGCTCGAAACAAGGCCAGTACTTCGTGGCTGAAATCCTTTCTCTACATCACGCATGAACATGGCTGGCGCT